ACTTTACACATTATATAGGCTACACTAACGTGACGCTATAAGGGATCAGACTATTCTAAACTTTACACATTATATAGGCTACACTAACGTGACGCTATAAGGGATTAGACTATTCTAAACTTTACACATTATATAGGCTACACTAACGTGACGTTTAGGCGGTTCGTTTAATTATTATACGTGTTCCAAAACGCGACATTAATTTCTTGACAACCTAATACATATTGTAAATTAAAGCTATCGGGTATTTAGGAAGTCTTTAACAATTTGTATTCATTACAGTTCTGAAAACATTATATGTAAATGCAGTCATAACTGAAAACTGCGCAGGCAAACGCTTTTATTCACCGCTACTAAACTCACGGATTTAAAATCCAGATAAATATGTTTTTATATTCTGTGTTCTTGTTTTTGCTTCTTTGACCCGATTAACGTCGAAAATATCAGGCTATGCTAGTCAGTTGAATTGCCTGAAGTACCAGTGACAACAACTTAACGATGTCCAACAGAGATTGAAATGAAACTGCTTCTAATATGAATTTGAAGAACTATAGTATAGATTTAGATGTAAATGGGGCCTAGTATAGCCTATAAGTTAAGGCACTTGATTTGCTATCTGCGGGTAGCGGAATCGACCCCCCTCATCGAACATGCTTGCTCGTCCTTTTATTCATGAGGGCATTATAATGTGACGGTCAATCCAATTATATGCTGGTAAAGAGTAGCTAAAGATTTGGCGGTGGGTTTTGTTGGCTGGCTTCCTTCCCTCTAGTGAACCTAGTCCATCACTTTTAAATTAGGTACGGCTAGCGTAGATAGCCCTCGAATAGCTTTGCGAAAATTCAAAAACAAATGAATAAACAGGTACATGAAAATACGTCACATTATTGCTTAAATCTATATACTAAACTCTGAGATTGTTTGTTTGTTTGCTTGTCTGTAATTAAATACAGCAAAAACGGCGCACAATAGAGCCATATTTGTAATGAAATGAGAATAGAAACAGAATAAAACAAGTTTTGTTAAAATTGGGCCAGGGGTTACAGAGTTAGCACAGTTTTTGGGTCACTATTATGAAAATTTCTAGCATGAGTAATTTTGCATCACACTACAGTTCATGCTCGTTA